GTGTTGAAATTTTCTGAAGTCATTTAACCCTTTTCTAATAGAAAGTATGAGTTGACTTTCCATTAAAAAAATGCCTATACACACGAAATTTCACATTAAGTTTTAGGAGCTCCAGGGAACCCCCTGAAGGCCTCTCGAAGTCCAGATTCCAAGTTGCAAACCCTTTCACTAGGTACCCTTTATAGCATGCCATGAGATTTAAAGTAGCATTATTTACATTACGAGTCAAGTTCATCATTTCACAGGGCCTACCTGAGTTACAGGACAAGAATGCACTCATGGAGCTGCAAATAGGTAATTCACCTGCTCTCTCACTGTGGAACCGGCATGAGACACAACAAAACAGTTCCCGATAGGGGGTTTAGCAGGTGTCCAGCGGTTCACCTGACGAATATTCGTGGGGCTAGCCCTCTGCACGAGGGATCGTGCTGGGCAGTGAAGCTGAAGAGCTGGTGAAAAGCTTACACTTTGAGGTATGAAAACTTACACTGGGGGCATGAAAGGCAGCAGCAATGATACTGGATGGCGGGGATTACTGTAGGGGTAAAGCAGCTGATAGGCTAAATGAGGGCATATGGGAGGGGAAGTGAAATCCTTCGAGAGAAAATACCCAACAGGCCAGTCCTGAAGGACGAGTGGGAATGAGCCTATAGTCCCCACACATGCTTAAGAAGTCGGCGACCTGTAGGCTTGTCGCACCACGCAGTCCTCCTCCATTTCCTGCCCCCCCGTCAACCCCTCTCGATGGCTACACAGATTTTTTATGTGTATCCTATATATCTCAAAAGACCATGCTTGATGAGCTATTTTTAAAGTTTTCGCATTTAGGCATTATCTTCTGATATCTCACTATGGTCAATGAGGATTTAGTTTTAATTACCTCATAATCCCACCCCTTGCTCCTGGCCTCAGCACAGACACATGTGCATGTGCATCGGGACACACACACCCCCCTCTCACGACCCCCAATCTCTCCAACACGTGTTTATCTTTTATTTAAATTACTTTGACCATGTAAATGCGATTATGTACATGACGGCTTGACCTTTCCTTACACATCTTGTGTCAATATTTGCCCAATTTGTTTCTAGTTTTCTCTGTACTTATTAATTCGACCCTGAATTCTACTCCATGTATGTTTCCTCTGAAGGTGTTGAACATATTGGTTACTCTATTTCCATCTTCTTGAACACCATCCCTGAGCCCTCCGACCTGCCACAGTTCCGGCTGGTGGCTCTCTGGGCCTGTGGTCCAGCTGCTGAGTTAGGATCTCCCTTAATCACCAACTGGGGATTCTTAGTGCTTCTTTCTTGGTTTGGATTTTTTTCTGTTTCTAATCTCTAGGTCAATTAAATGATAAATCATCATCTTGGAAATAATTCTAGGAGATAAACCATTTTCTTGATTTTCTTTTATGGCCTTATTTCCCTAGGTTACATTTTCCAATAGCATCCTCACAGAGGATGGAGAGGAGACAAGATTCTGAGACTTTGGATGTAGAATTCTGCCTTGGAAATCTTTTTCCCTCAGAATTTTCAGGTCATTGCTCTCATCGTCTTGCTTCCAGTGTAGCCATTCAGAAGGCTGAAGCTGTTCTATCCTTGACCATTTTTTTCTTACTAAAAGTCTGTAAGATATCCTCTGTTTCTGTCTGAAGTTCTGATTTTTAAACATAATGTGCCTTGGCATGTACCCTTTTTCATCCATTGTTTTCAGCACACAATAGGTCTTTCTATCTGGAAATATATATTCAATTCTAGAAAATTTTCTTGCACTGTTTATTATTTCCTTTGTTCCCCACCCCCCCTTTTTTTTCCCTGTTCCAAGTCTCTAAAATGTCTACTTGCCTACTGAACCTCCTGGATATATTAGTTTGCTAGGACTGACATAATGAAAAACCACAGGCTTCTGGTGGCTTCAACGACAGAAATTTATTTTCTCACCGTTCTAGAGGCTCGAAGTCCATGGTCAAGATGCTGGCAGGTCTGGATTCTCCCGAGGCCTCTCCTCCTTTCCCCTGTTCCAAGTCGCTAAAATGTCTACTTGCCTACCGAACCTCCTGGATATATTAGTTTGCTAGGACTGACATAATGAAAAACCACAGGCTTCTGGTGGCTTCAACGACAGAAATTTATTTTCTCACCGTTCTAGAGGCTCGAAGTCCATGGTCAAGATGCTGGCAGGTCTGGATTCTCCCGAGGCCTCTCCTCCAGGTTTGCAGAAGGCCGCCTTCTTCACTGTGTCCTCAGTCTTTCCTCCATGCCCTGGCATCCCTGACATCTCTGCGTGTTGAAATTTCTTCTAATGACACCAGTCAGACTGAACGAGGGCCCATCCTAATAGCCTCATCTCAACTTAATCACCTTTTCTAAGGCTCTGTCTCCAAACACAGTCCCAGTATGAGGTCAGAGCTCCAACATGTGGATGTGGGTTTGGAAGACACAATTTAGCACCTAACACTGGACTTGTTTTATTTTCATCTCTTCTTATCTCTTGGTCTTTTGGCTCTACTTTTTGGGAGATTTAATCTTCTCAACTTATTTCTAATATCGCACTTTAAATTACTAGAGCTGTTTCCTTAATTTCTAAAAAGGTATTGTTTTTGTTTTCAGGGATGTAGTAAGTCTCGCCTAAGTAAGAACATTAATTATAGTTGGGTTCTTTCCTCTAACTTTTCTTCTACCTAATCTGTTTTCTCCAAATTGCTGTTTTCCACTATGTATCTTGGTCACTATCTTTAATATTAAGTGCTCTCCTCAACTGTCTATTGACTGTCAGTCAGCAGGACATTTAAAAGTTGATGAGAAGCTCTGTACTCAGGGACGAGCCTTGTCCATAAGCTTCATCGTGGAGCGATACTTTTCTATTTTTGCTCTATGTGAGAATCTGGAAAATTAAGGTAATGAAAAATTTTAAAGCTTCCCAGGTGATTTCGACACACAGTGAGGGTTGAGAATCACTGCTACAGTGTCTTAGCTGAGCCCAGTTGGAACTCCCAGTGTGAGATCTTCCTATTCTTTTTTCCTGAGCTTGTCATATTCCCAAGACAATACTGGAGGGTCTAAGGTTGGCTGCCGGAGTTCTGGGAACTGAGTATGTGATACATGCTGGGGTGGGTTGGGGCTTGGAGTCACTAGTCAGTTTTTAAACTTTCACTTAATACCGCTTTTTAGTGTGGTGTTCGTGTTTTTATAATCTTCTCTAGAGACCCTCTGTCCTCTCTGGAGAATGAATGTCCAATCTTTTGCCAGGTTAGGAAAGGGACACTTGCCAAGTTGTCTGGGATGGCTACTGATTCTTAATAAACTTTAATCAATTCCTTTTTTTAGTATGTCTTCAGATCCCCTGCTCCCATTCCAGAGGTATCTGTGGACTTCAATTATTGCATCTTTTGGGGTTCTGTGATGATGGGGCTGCTAGTTGGCTTGGCTCCTTCATGCATATGTCTGATGTCTCATTCTCCAGAGCCTCCCCATGTCTGTCTTCTCCAGCATGGTCACAGCATAATCACATCTCAGACGGCATCTGGCATCTTAAGAGGGACCGACTGTTCCAAAGAGGAAGTGGAAGCTGCCAGGCCAGTTAAGGGACGGGCAGCACCACTTTCGCTGCATTCAGAACAGGCACATAACCCGCCAGATTCAAAAACGTAGAAAGGAACTCCACCTCTTGCCAAGGGAGTGATAAGGTCACACTACAGCAGAGAATATGGGCTGAGGTGTATTTTGTAGCCATGTTTGGACAATATAACCTACTGCAGAGATGAGATTGTGAAAACGTGGTTGTTGGTTGCAGTGTGAGCTGTTCCACTCACTGCTGAAGATGAGGTGCTCGGAGTTGACATTTTCAAGGAGATGCAATCGCTGATGAGGACAAAGATCTACGCATTGACCACAGGAATGAGGTGACTAAAGAAGGATGAAGAGAAAGTTCATCGGAGATAGGTCAAATAAGAGGCCAGAGGGTTAAATGGGAGGTCAAGGTGAAAAATGAAACAGACACTTCCTTGAAGGAATTTCTCTTTATCTACATACATTTCCCCCTCCTCTTTTTCTCTATAGCTTTTCCCCCAAAAAATTGTGAATGAGGGTTTTTACCCAGCCACCCCCCCCACAAAAATATTACATAAGAGCATAATCTAAAAAGCAAAAATGTAATTAGTTGGCAGAACTGCTCAATTTAGAAACAGAAAATGTCATCTGCACCTCAATATTCCAATTTAATACATGGCTGATTTTTATTTTAGAGCGTAAAATATGCAGAAAAGTTCTGTTTGATGTTTAGATCAATGCCACGTATTGATCACACCTTTCTAAATCTGACTTACCTACCTCCCTGACACACAGGCAAAATAATGATACGTAGTTTTCTTGGACTTATTTTCTTTTCTAATTATCAAGGGAAGAAAGTAGGGAATAGTCTGGGGTGGGCACAGCCTTCTACAACAAAAATTCAATTAATAGATGGCAACGCAGCTAACCGGCAAATTGTACTGTCCACTGGAAACATAGATCTTAAAAGATTGTAAGATCTAAGTAATTTCCTGATCATTCTCATGGCTTCAAGGACCAACTTTGTTAAGAAAGTTCTTGATTTTAAGTTACCAAAACCAAGAAGTCTAAGTAGGCAAACTTAAAACATGCATCTAAACATTGAGTAAATATTACATTGTCAGAGAAATAGGAATAATAAAAATTCTGCTTTCAAAAAGCTTACAGTCTAGTCAAAGAGACAGCCACAGACGTCACGATATAAACAAGTACAAGCTAAAATGCTGTTACAGCATTATAAAACAAAGGCCTGCAGGAGCAGAGAGAAAACAATTTTGTCTGAAACGAATGAAACTGCACCAAAGTCAAAATATAATTTTGACAGACTGGTTGAATATCGGCAATAAAATAAGCAGAGGAGATAAGACATCTGTCTGACGTGTTTGGGAAATGCTAAGAAGCCCAGTGGGTTTAGAACACAGGAGGAAGAGAATCACAGAGGATCATATATATATAGTAGCAACAAGTCTGGCTTTATTCTGTAAGTATCAGAGAGTCCATAGCTTCCGAGCTAGGAAAGTTACATGCTGGGTGTGTGACACAGCTAGATCTACAGTTTAGGTAAAAGCGGACAGCAGAGTCCTGGAGGATACAAAAAGGACCGAAATACAGACAAGATCAGCCAAGAGGCTCCTATAATAATCCACGTAAAAAATAACGCTGGCTGAAACCCCCAAGTATATTTAGAGGTTAACAGGTTGAGAACATCCTAAGCAATACAGACAAGCCAGGAAAAAACCTTAAACGTTTATAATTTATTATTAAGTTTAAATAAAGCCAGTTAAATAACTTTAGACAAACAGAAAATAACAAGGTATAAAGTTAAAAACTGAATTGTAACATTTCATAATGACTTATAAAGGCCATCGTCACCTATATTGTATATCTTAAAGAAGTATTAGCAAACACAACAACAGCATATCCAACATGTTAACTCTAATTATATACACCTAATGTATCAAAATGTTGTTTTTTCCCCATGATCACCCAACAGACACTTTTAATCAACTTTTTTGTAATTAGCTGATATATATTCATATGCCAATTAATTTTATTAGCTTGAAAAAATGTAATAAAAAGTAAATTATGCCCCTAAATCATCGCCATGCCTTTACGAAACAATTAGTATACTATTTGCTGTTCGGGCAACTAATATTTATTAACCTCCTATTTTCCAGGCCCAAAAACATGTTTGTTACTTTCCAGAATCGGACTGATAGGAACTTGCTCCACACCATAAACCGTAACATTTAATTATATTAACTGCCAATTTTTAGGAATCACCACATTTATATTTCTGTTGTTACCACTAAGTTTTTGCTTGTGTATTTTCTTAAATTTGTACGGACATAAGCAGCATTTTATACTTACATCACCATCACGTCTCTTTCCTACTTATCTCCCTAAGGTCGTCACCACATATCTCTAATTTCCTGCTTATAAATTTTAATAAAATGTTAAGTGGGAATGTATAGTATTATTACTCTATCATTCTGGAATTTAAAAATGACAAGTACACATTTTAAAAAGCTACACATAATAAACTATGATTTCTAAAATATAATATATATTTAAAAAATTAACCTCATCAAATTTCTGGTTTCTAATCTTAAATACAGGATGTTAAGAAGTTTAAATGACTATGTATCATGATGGTTGTCCGCACATGAGATACTGAAATACATATTCTTTTAAGTTTAAAGTACCTCTTCTAAGAACTGGGCTAATACGTGATTCCTTATTTAGTTCAACTGGAATAAAATTATAATAGCAGTATTTTCTTGTCATTAGGCATAACTACAGCCAAAATATATTGTTGTTCAACAACACCGAATTCAATACTGAGGATAATCCGATAGTCAAAAATACCAATTTCTAGCCAACATCTAGTATTATTCAAGCATCGATTATCCTATGAGTTGTTCTGTTAAAATTATCTGACTAGAAAGGGAAGGAATAAGGAAACAGACATTAGAGATCTAGAACACGTCCTTATTTTACAGATGAGAGACTGAGGCTCAATCTTGGTAAATAACTTGCCCAAGGCACAGGCCAGCGGTGGAACTAGGCCTGTTCCTGAGTCTGATTTGCACTCCGGGCTCTTACCATTATCTGTGTTCTCTCATTTTATGACTTAATCAGGTTATTTATTTACTATGTTTTAACTTTAATTTGGAAAATTATCGAGTAAAGAAACTTTTCCTCTAAGCCCAACAACATTCTAGTTTTTCCCAAAAATGAGCATTACAGGAACAGGATGCAGTCTATAAATGTTAGAGAACTTCCTTGGCTTAAGACAAGAACTTTATACAGGAAAAAGTTCACTTTATGTATAATTACATTTGGCTGCAAAATGCTTATATAAAAGTCACAGCTTTAAGACCTCTTTAAATCAGAGTGACTTCGTATGTTGTGAAATGGTTTTCTATAACCTTGACATTCTCTTCAGATAGCCAGTTCTCCTGTTTTAGCTGCCTTATGAGAGCTTCTAAAGACTTCAATCTTCCTAGAGTTTGCTGCTCTTGCAGCTCAAGAAGCGTTATCTTTGAGTGGAGTTTAGAGACTTTCTGCCAAAGATGTTCCTTATTTATATCTTTTCTACAGTACGAATGTTCAATTTGCAAAACCTCTGTCTCATAGTCCACATCCTTATACAAAGAGTCTTCAGTGTCAATACCCTCCATTTCCACAGTTTCTTTTTGGGGAGGCATAAAAGAATTAACTGTAGGTTTGAAATTTTCTGCGGGTACAAAAATGGCAATAACTGATTCTTTATTTGCGTTTAATTCTTCAACTGTTTGAGAAATGGTGCTGAATAAGAATGGACTTTCCTGTGCTGACTTAATTTCCATGGAAGTATTTGTAATGTTCGGATTAGCAAGATGACTGGTAGTTATTTCAAGCACTTCTTGGGTTTCCAAAGACTGCTGGACACCTTCTGAATTTGAAGTTGTCAAAGTAATAGTGGTAGAATTTAGATTCTCAAAAGTTGTGTGAAAACCACCTATACTTATGTCTTGGTTAATTGATGTTTCTAAGGTAGATGCTGGTTGTCCAGTATTTTGTTTAACTAGATTAAGAGTTAATACGTTACTGTGTACACTTCCTGTTTTTGGAGCTGGTGGCATCACCGAGGCAGATGAACCAAGTACTTCTGCATGCTCAGGGAGGACATCTGTGTTAACTGTATTTTTCTTTGGCTCATTTGATGCAAATGATTCTTCTGACTTGGCTTTTAGGCACATTTCTTTCTCATCGTCTAATTTTTTCTTCTGCCATTTTTTTTTGGAAGGGTTTTTTTCCTAGAAAATAATATTTTCAAATTCTAAAAAGATGGCCTTATTAGGTTTATTCCCTTAGCCAGTGCTGAATACTTAATTATAACTTTGAGCAGTATGTTGGCCAAGCAATTTGTTCAGTTAAAAAAAAATGTTCTAAGAACATTATAACTCAAATAGACTTTAAAGTGTTTTTTAAAATGCATCGAGTATAGTCAATATATGATGGAAACATTACAGATCAATCAAAAGAGCAGTAAAAAAAATTAGATCATTAACTTATAATAATGATGATTTACATATGCGTTACTGTTTGCTCCTCTTAAGCTATGCTTCACAATGGTTTCAAGTTTTAAAAAATCATCACACTTTTAGTAAAAGCATAGTTTTCCTTTTTCTCAAGTATATTTTCCCAGCAACTGTCTTTCCCTCTCACCCCCTCCACCTGATTACCTGCCACCCTGCAATCTACTGTCCTGCTCTGCATTATCCCCCCTCCCCTACACCCTGCCTCCAATACCTGATCATCTTCAGGCAAAGAAAATATTGTTGGAATCGCAGTTTGTTTCAAATATCGGATACCCCATCTGACGTCAAGAGAGTCAGGAGTGAAATGGTCACTACACAAGAACTGGTATTTACTGGGAACCCATGAATCTCGCTTCATATTCTTTAACCATTTTTCAAGTCTTTCTTTGTCATGTAGAGGAAACCTGAAATTAAAAAAAAAAAAAATTTGCTATATTTTTACAATTTCAGCACTGCATATATAAGTAACCTACGTGTCAAAGAAAGGCGGCCATCCTGCCGTGCAAGAGCATCTTATGACAACTACCACCGTGTCACCTCTGCAGTAAAGAGGACTGAGATGTACGGTATGTGGCCAAAGCTCTGAGAAGAATGGCCGGTAAAACAGAACTCAGTCCCTTCAAGTAAAATATATGTGTCCCAAGACCACAAAAAATCTATTCATGTTTTCTGTGGATCGTGTTCTATTTTTATTTTGTGATGTAGTTTGCCTAGGATTACGAAAGAGTTTTGTATAAACTACAAAGTCTTACTGAAATATAATTCATTCTAATAGTACAAGTCAAACAATTTCTTGTCTATAATTCAAAGAAGTATTTTTAGGCTTATTTATGTTAGCATTTTTTAAATAAGGAGTTAATTCAAACAAATGGTTTAGCTGACAATAAAATGAATATGAAATCTTATAAAACTACTAATATTCCATTCTCATTATCAGAATTGGGCCTCAGTTCTACCCATATGTTAACTTAATCCAGTATTTCTAGACATCTAAAATCAATGAGCTGGGAACTATAAATTCAAGTTTTGAAAAGAGAAACTGACACAAGAAAAGAGCCAAACATCTTTAAAAAGACAGACTCAAACATTTTATAATATGAAACAAATCAAAAAGAAAAGACAGAGGAGGTCAAGACAGCTCTTTTATCTGTCTACTTACAATAACCTTGATTTTGAGTTGGCTCTAACACACTGCAATCTATTTTATAGGCAAAGCTAGACAATAGCAGAAAGTCGACAGATTTAACTTTTTTCTACTAGTCTAAACAGGTTTGAGTTAAACTGCATTAAACAAGTTAACAGTAACTCTTTTAAAAAATGATTTTACAGTAGAAGACATATTACATAATATCTTATTTTTGCAAAACAGTAACATAAGGTTTCTCATACAAAAAGCAGCAGTTATACATTCATCCCAATCCCAACCATTTAGTTTATGCTTTGTATTAGCATGCTTTTTCCTTCCTAAATATTGATAACTTTTGAAGATGCTAAGGGAAAAAGAGTCTGGGTATTTTGAAGAAAATAACTTCTAATCCTGATTTCCTAACATGGAAAAATCAGATGGCCTACCTTTGGATGTTCTTACTATAAATATAACATTCATACACGGTTTGAAAAATTTTTATCCTTGCACATATCAATACCAGCTTATAAGGATAGGCATTACCTCCTCCCCTCACCCCATCTCCCCAAAATTTTAAGGCAAAAAGAATTTTCTTTTCAGAGGACCTGAATTCTTCTAGCCACAGATAAGTTCATACCTTTTGTGGTGTTTTTTAATGTAATTTCATGCTGTTATCAAATACAAGAAAAAAATATTTTGTGAATATTCTTATTCGTAACTGGACTACCATGCTTTCTCAATGGTTAAATGATTTTTAAAAATCATTTAAAAAGTCTACTTTCAGTAAAGTCACATTTTGAGGAGAAAAAGAACTTTATAATCAACTTCTTTCGACATTATTTTTTCCCTCCTTAAAAACAGTAACTATGCGGACACAGGTTTAATTTAAAGAATTGTGAGTATGGAGTCATGCCCCCCAAGTCCAAGGCCAAATATATCTGAGAAACATCAGGCTAAATCAAGTTCAACATAATCCTTTGCTACGAACCTCGGAGCCAGAGCCATTTTCCCATCAGATGCCCTTGGATTGGATTTTTTTCCCTAAAAAATGTATCTCTGCATTTTGTGGAAGGATTTCAGGTGAGAAAGAACCCTGAAAATACTGCCATGTGTGAATTAAGTGGAGTTAGCAGGGGTTCTCTTCCACATTAGCTAAGATAATGGAAGGCTGCAGAATCATTAGTGAACAGAAAGCTTCAGGTCTAGAGTAGAATAGGGTTCATAAAGTAACTGGTGAAAAATCGAAGAAAATAAAAAACTAACACGTAAAGCTAAATTAATTATTTTTAAATACAAGAAAAAAGGAACTACGTCCTTACAGACTACATGTAAATTAGGTTCTATGAATATCTCCAATATCTTTACAAATGAGAGCTCACAGGCACAGAGTTAAATAATTTTCAAGTCATTCAGCTACGAAGTAGCGGAGCCAGGATGTGAACTTATTAAGTCTGGTTTTGGAGCCTGGACTCTATTAAATTATTACACCCTACTGTTTGCTCGTTCTGAACTTCTGAATAAATATGAGTATGTACTTCTGTGGTTTCATGGAACTATTTCGTGGCATTAGTGTTCGTAATAACATCCTGTTCTCTGTACAAACGAAGAGAATATTGAGCCCTGAGCGGGAGACAGGTTCTAATTCTGGCTCTGCCACCAAACCTTCAAGTCTCGGTTTCCTTATGAGATAAATGGAATCGAGTTAACTGTGCGACCTAACTCACAATGGGCGTAAAGTGACTTGAGTGCAGCTTTCCACCTGGCAGGTTTGATGTGCGCCTTAAGCGGTGGTGTTCATTCTATGAAATGAGGTCAGGTGAGGTGGGGAAACGCTCTGCAAACCACAGGGCGCCGCGCAAGCTTCACTGTTTTAAGTAAACAAACCCCTAAGCCTCGCGACCGGCCCAGCGTCCTTTGCATAGTTAGGACATTGCTAGGTAAACAGAACTCGAACCTTCACGCCCCCGTCCTGAGATGTGACAGACCAGACCCGGATTGCTGAGGACGAATTTCTAGAGCAGAACCGATCCTAAAGGCCATAGGACCGGGGCCCAAAAGCAAGGCTGACGCTTCTGCTCCCATTACAACTTACGGGTAAAAACTCAGCTTTCGGTCTTTATTGTTCCGACCTCGGCGGTTCTTACAGCAAATCGCTGCGCAGTAGCGAGGCATCACTCCGGTTCGGCCCGGGGAAGCCCCGGCCGACTGACGGCGCAGGCGAGGGCTGCTCGCTGCAGCGGGGCCGCGAGTCTGGGCCGCCCGAGCCACCGCGCCTGCGCCAGGACGGGCCGCGCGGAAAGACGCCGCCGTCATCGACTCACTTCCGCTTCCGCGGGCTTCGGCACCGCCCTTTTGGGAGGTGGAACCGGAAGTGACGCATTGGCTGAGCGGCCACAACAGTTTTCCACGTGCGCGTAGGGCGCCAGGGTCAGGTGGGGCGACGAGAGCCAATAGGGGAGCGTTTCGTGTAGGTCGTCTCCAGAGGCGGAGGCGCCTTCAGCGGCCGCTCGGCAGTGGGGAGCCGGCTGAGCGGGGACTCGGCGGCCGCGGCGGCAGGAGTGGGGTGAGGTCCGTGTACCAGCCGCAGTGGGGCGAGCGCGGGCTCCTGGAGGCCGCGGGGGCCGGGGTGAGGACCGGGCGTCAGCAGCGGCCGGAGGGTGCGGGTGGCGGACTAGGCCGGGGTTGCGGGCTGGGGGGTTCAGAGCGACCCTGGGGCCTCGGTCGGCCTTCGTGGGCTGACTTGGCCTCCTTGTTCCCCATGGTCGCCGTAAGAGCTTGGGGGCTGCCTGGTTCTTGCGGAAGGGAGTAGGGAGAAGGAGATGGCCGAACCCGAGTCGTGCGTTTCGCGTTCGGAGCTGAGCCGCTGGCCTTCTCAGGCGCCGGACAGCGTCTCCGGGAAAGGCGGAGCGGGGGTCGCGGGGCCGCAGTCAGCCCGCCCTCCTGCACCCTCCCCCCCCGCATCTGGTTTGAACCTCATGCCAGTCCCACCGAGCTTCTCCCTCAGCCGTCTAATCCTCCCCACCCGCCCGCCACGTGGGGCGTAGGGCCCGCGCTGCTGTCCGGTGGGCCCCTCTTGGGAATGAGAAGTCGGTGTAATGCAAACGTCAGTCCACTTCAAAAGCATCAGATATTCAGCTCGAGACTGGAATAACGTTTATTAAACCCCTCCGGGTGCAGACCAGCCCTTCGACTGGGGAGCGACCTGCGGGGGCCGCGGCGCCCACAGTGCGCCCTGGGCTTGTGTTCTTTCCACAAGGAGTTTGTATTTGATCCCTGGTCCCCATGACTCTGAGTAACTCTCTGGAAAGAAGTAACCTACCTGCTAATTACGCTCAGAAAAGGCCACAGGAGAGGGAAGCATGCAGTTTCCACAAACCATAGTATCTTTCGTCAGCCTCGTTATGTCATCATAGGTTATTGAGGACTGCCGTGACACCGTTCAAAAAACAGGAGTATTTCTTTTGAATCCTAAATCGTTAAATCTGTGCCGTCAAGAATTTGAAGTTAATTTTATCAAAGGTTAGAGAAATATTTTAATGGCTCCTTCTCGGTTTGAAAATAAGAACGTATCGAAAGTACGAACTATAGAAAGTTCATTTTTTACCAACCTTAGCAGAAATCTTATTCGATTAATTATGAGGTTTTAAGAAAGACTTACACATGCTTTTTGTTAAATATTTGAGATCTTACAGTGAAAAACGATTACATTCTATTAGTGCATTGTTAATATTGTGATATTGAGTATATATTTACAATCCTTGCTTCACCTTGGGGAAATAAAAGCGAAGCTGGTACTTTGTTAGGGAGGGAAGATCACTCCTAATTTAAACTTACTGAGCTCTTCACCTTGGTAATGTACTTTTTTTTTTTCTGTGAAAAAATACTTTTTTAGCCCCCTTTGAATATGAATTCTTGACGATTGAGACCCTTTAAAATATTATATAGATTTTTTAGCCTCCTTTGAATATGAATTCTTGACGATTGAGACCCTTTAAAATATTATTTAGATTTTTTGCCCTTTTTACAATGCTCACATAGGATGAGTCTTTAACATTAACTAGTAAAAAAAAAAAAGTTATTGAATGTTTTTGTGCCTACTCTGTATGTCCAGAGTATCAGTGGAAAGTCAAAGACAAGAAAGATTTTTCTCAATTTGGTTGAATTATATTTGCTTTCAAGAAGGTTATAACCAATTTAGAGATAATAAAGCCTATGTAAATGAAATAACATGGGAACAGATACAAGCTACTATATGTTTAACATTTTAATACTATATTAAGTATACCTCCTAAAAGTTCATTGGATTTCTTTTAAAAAAAAAAAAAAAAAGAAGTCTTAAGATTAGTTCCATGTATGAATTTTTTTCTTTTCTCTTTTAGGTTATTAGAAATGGCTACTCCCCAGTCAGTTTTCATCTTTGCAATCTGCATTTTAATGATAACAGAATTAATTTTGGCCTCCAAAAGTTACTATGATATCTTAGGTGTGCCAAAATCGGCATCAGAGCGCCAGATCAAGAAGGCCTTTCACAAGTTGGCCATGAAGTACCATCCTGACAAAAATAAAAGCCCCGATGCTGAAGCAAAATTCAGAGAGATTGCAGAAGGTAAGTCGATGACTATCTCCGAGGTCGCACAGGTATTAACTGGTAAAGGAGAATGATAGCTAAGAAGTGTATGTATTTGAAGATTTTGTGGAGCTGGGAGGGGGAGTGGGATCTACCTGTAAACATAGTGAGATTCTTGAGACTGTTTTCTAATAGATACTTTGATTCCTGGATGGATGGATGAATGGTAGTATTTTTTTATTGGCACACAGTTCCAGAAATGTTGAAAATTGATTATTTCATTTTTTTCATTATTATAAAAATTGCTTATTGTTTCTATGTCAGAAGGAATATTCGGTACTCAAAACTTATAAACTAACTTATGAAACATAGTTTTTACTAAGTATGGAGATTATAAAAAATACTAAGCGTAAAATTTTTAAACAGACTGAAATACCTTGGTTTATTATTTCACTTGATTTACAATTCAAAGCCACATGTGTCTTTAAAATGAAAAATATGAAAGGAATTTTGACATAAGACTAGTTCTAAAACAAGTTGCACCTCCTGAACATTTCAGTAATTACTGGTGGGTGGAGTTAAATGAGTAGGGAGTCGGAGTTAAACATTTACTTCAACTAGCTAGGAAGTGAAAGATCTAAATTCCTCTTAATTAGTTATATTTGACATCAGATTCTTTAATACAAGTAATGGTTTCACACAAATAATACGAAGGATAACTAATCATTTCCCACAGGTTTATTTGTAGTAATGGTAGCATTCATTTCACAAATACTTATTGGATATTTACGGGGGGCAGGCATTGTGCTCACTGCTGATACTATGTAGTGAACAAGACAGAGTCCCTGCCTTTCGTAACTTTGATTTTAACTTTATTCTTATGTGTGTAGCGTTCGGGTTTTACTTATAATATGAAATCCTTCTCTTAAATAGAGAGTCAAATTTATTTATATGTAGAGATTTGGATGTATATGATTTTGATTACCTTCAGTTACTGAAGTATTTTTATTTCTTGCAGCATATGAAACACTCTCAGATGCTAATAGGCGAAAAGAGTATGACACGCTTGGACACAGTGCTTTCACTAATGGTAAAGGACAAAGAGGCAGTGGAAGTTCTTTCGAGCAGTCATTTAACTTCAATTTTGATGACTTATTCAAAGACTTTGGTTTCTTTGGTCAAAACCAAAACACTCGGTCCAAGAAGCATTTTGAAAATCACTTCCAGACACACCAGGATGGCTCTAGTAGACAAAGGCATCATTTCCAAGAGTTTTCTTTTGGAGGTGGACTGTTTGATGACATGTTCGAAGATATGGAGAAAATGTTTTCTTTTAGTGGTTTTGACACGACCAGTCGGCACACAGTACAGACTGAAAATAGGTTCCATGGATCTAGCAAGCACTGCAGGACTGTCACCCAGAGAAGAGGAAATATGGTGACTACGTACACCGACTGTTCGGGGCAGTAGTTCACGTTCTGTTCTCACTAAACCCAGCTAGTTGACTGTTCTTCAGTATCTTTGATGCAAAACAATTTTCTGTGAACTCTTTTGACAAATGCATGATTTCACTTAACTTGATATAGCTATTAAATATATTTAAATTGTTTTTGACAAACGAAGCAACATTCAGTTAGTAGAGAAATAGTTAATTATTAATTTCCCTGATTAAGAAAGGTTCTTTAAAAAAAAAATCTGCCCGGTTTTCTTTTTCTCTATCTGCCCTTGAGCTTATTAATGTGGACAGTTTTATTACCAAGAAAAGATCAAATTTGCCTGATACATATTTAAAGGTTAAACTTTAAAAGTCATTGTAGATTTAAATTGTGTGACCTTGACCGATTTTTGCCATGAAACCTTTCTAATTAAAATTGCATGCTCTGTAGCATCTCTGACTTGGGTTGCTAAGTATACGTGAAACTGAATAATGAGTCATTCAGTAAAGGATGGCAGCAGTACGTTGGTTAATTTCCACCGAAAGCTTCAGAAAGGCATGGTTTGATATTTACCACAGAACCATGCTTTTCTAGAGTCGAATTGCAGTAAAGGAAGTGATTGCTCATAGTCATTTAAGCTGAAAGTTGAAAATTAATGAAATATTGTCAAGAAATTGTTACATGTTTGGATCCTGGCTAATGATTTTGTAATGTTGGAATCATAGCTACTTTCTGTATCTTCACATTTCTTTCTTTCTTAATTGTTGGCTCTCTCGGGCTTAATATGGATTTATGTCTTTTTTGTGTGTGTGGTTCCTCTTTTTTGCACTCATTATCTACAGATTGACTAATACCTCATTCTGTTTGTAAGAACAGCCAGTAATTTCTGCGCAACTTTATTATGTGCAATATTTTTAAATCCTAAGAAATACGTGCTTTTGTTTTCAGATAGACCTATTTCTTTAGTTCCGCATTTTTCCACGTTATACTCCATATGAGTATTAATCCTATGGATACCTATTAAAGTAGTTAATGTCTCATACAACATTGTGAGTGAGAGAAATATAATATTTACAATATGATGTTCTCTGTTGTCATTTTATTGTGAAAAGTTTATTCCGCAAGTCCAGAAGTGTGCTTGTCACTGTAAGCAACGGGGCTGCTTACGCTGACCATAGCCCTGTTCCAGAAGTTACTTTGACTAACCAGAAAACCCTGACGTGACCTGGTTGGATTGCCATTTGCTAATTTCTATGCTCTCTCCTCCTCCCCTCACAAATTTTGGTAGCTCGAAGATTTTTGTTAATTATAATTTTGATGTATTTGCTAGGAGCAATTATTTTTACCATTGGTTCTTTCCTCTTAACCTGGTTGGGAAAAAGCGGAGACTTTGCGTAAAGCTATATTTATTAATAATCCTCTTTATTTTAAAACTGAAGAAAATTTTTCTATTTACATACCTTAACTTCCTGGAAGTTATACCTACTACTTTTGTTTGAAAACAGGAAGATAACCATACCTGGAATTTTGATCTGAGGATTGTCTGTAGCCTCTCAAAACAAATGAGGCAAAAAAATCAGGATTAACTTTAAGGATTATTTTTATGTTGGTAGCATCTGACCCCTTTTTCTCCATGGCCTGTTCATCTTCCTTGTTTTCCCATTCCAAATATGGATTTGGACCCCTACTTTAAAAAACAAACTCCCTTTTGGCTCTTTAAAGAGGTGGTTGTGGGCACCTCCAATCTGTAGCCAGTGGGTCAGGACACAGTAACAACCTGGGCTTGCAGTTGGCATCTGAAGCAAAGGGCCGTCTTGTAGGACTGAGCCCTTAGCCTGTGAGGTCTGATTCTGTCTCTGTAGATAGTGTCAGAATTTAGTTGAGTTGTAGGTCACACAGCTGGTATCTGAAACATCACTTAGTGATGGGGGCGGGGCGGGGGGGTGAAGGGAGGAAATGCCCCGCTCAACACACATTGGAAATTTGGGTCCCAGAATACTCCTAGTGGGCTGCTTTGAACTTCCAGTAAGCTAATACATTATGAATCTCTAGTGAAGATACCATGTATTGTTTGCCAAATTTATTGGACCATGGAACCATTTTTACTGAGTACCCTTAACCACATCCAAGTGTGCAAAAGTAAAAGTTTGGTAAATATTGGCCTAAAACAGTAAAAAATCACAGTGAATCATTAGAACTTGTGCATGGATACAAAATGTTGCTGTCACCTCTGTGCGTCCTCCCCTCCATCATCTGTTTCAAGAAACACCTGAAAATGATTCTCCTGAGGGTCCAGACCCATTATGATTTTATTTAGCTTAGCCCACATTTCATCAACATGCTTTTTTTTTGATCACTACTCTAGTTATTTAAATGGTACTGGGTTTTTTTTTCAGAATTTTTATACCTGTAAAAGCCATCATCAAGGAAATTTCGACAGTACAATGAGAAACTTTATTCTTCCAAGAAAATAAAAATTACTGATCATTGTTACTAAATTGTATTTTTAAAAGTATTTGAGGACAGAAGAATCAGAATGTGACTATTAGGATACAGAGCAAATCATTTTCACATTTTTACATTTTTACAAATCACTTTTACCAATTGGACCAGTAGTAGTAGCTGGTGATATCAACAGTTCTCACAGTTGAGTAGCGAATTGAAGTATTTTTAGTCGGTGAGGAATAGAATAATCAAACATTTTTCTTGGTGAAATGTCCTTTGGCTATGTGCAAAATAATGAGTTAAATGGAAACATCAAAATACTAATATAAGTAAATACTTGATCACAGTCTCAAGAATTATTTTTACTCTGTACATAGTCATAATTCCTAATGTAAACGTTTATAATGAAGTTTCTGGGAAGCGCTGATAAGATGGTCTCTTTTCGTGGGAGAAAGCAAGGATTCTTTTCTCTCGACCACAAAAAAAAAAAAAAACAATTACAAAAGGAGGAAGGGAACGGGGAGGAATAGAGGACACTAGAAAAGCAATGTAGAGCAGAGGTCTCCAACCCCTGGGCTGTGGACCAGCACCGGTCCAGTGGCCTGTTAGGAACGGGGCTGCACAGGAGGACGTGAGCGGCAGGCAAGCCAGTGAAGCTACATCTGTGTCTGCAGCCGCTCCCCAGCGCTAGCATCACCGCCTCAGCTCCACCTCAGATCATCAGGCATTAGATTCTCATAGCACTGGTCACAAGTGCCAGAAAGGTTGGTGACTGCTGAACTTTATAGAGTTTTGTTGGGAAAAGTTGCAGAGAAATGAGCAGTATTGGTGATGGGAGTAGGGTCAAAAGAAGTTTTCCTACAAAGTAGCGAAAATTAGTTTAACAGACCTGAAAAATAATACCAGTGTTGAATGGAGCAATGTCTTCAAAGATCTGGGAAAAAATGCCTTTGAACTTAGAACTTTGTAACCAGATAAATTATTTATTAATAGAAGGCGAGACCAAAACAAAGGCATTTTTTTTCTTTTTCTTAGTATGTACTTTTAATTAAAAAAAAAAAAAAGTATTATGTTGATATTGGTTAACGAAATCCAGTAAGTTTCAGGTGTACAAAACATAATAATGATTACCACCTACATGTTCTTTATGAAAAAAAATACTGATTTTTTTTTTAGTCTAAAATAACAATGTACAAGAAAGGATACAATATAGGAAATGAGACGATAGCAGCTCAGTATATACCCTCGCGAAAGAATGAAGAAAGCTAGAAAGAAATTGAGAGCATACGTTAGAATTTGACACTTGGAAATTTCTCATTTGGAAATGGATTTTGTTTCATGGATCTGATTACTCAATTTATAAGGAAGTTGTTCATGTAACTGTATTGTAAATGTTTTTGACCGATCTATACACAACTCATAAAAGAATTATATTTATAAGATTATTATGAGAAATGTACCTCCCATTAGAAATGGAAAGACAAAAGAGTTGGAGGCAAGATGGAAGAAAAGGTTAATGTATTCTATCGTTCACGGTAGGCGATTGCTTTATTCTGTCTCAAGCTGATAAAGACCAGAGATTTTTAAATGTATTATTTTCTATTTTAGTGACAACCATCATCTGCTAACAGACACCGATAACGTAATTTCTGAGGAGTGAGACCGGGAGGCCAGGGAAGACCACATTTTGCATCAACCTCTAATGTTTGAATTTCTCTCGGTGAATACATTTTTTTTTGTTCTTTAGTATATTTTAAAAGAAAAAAACAAACAACCTGGCGTATCAGTTAGAGTATCTGTAACTAACAGAAAACCCCTGAGTTAAACAAACTCGAAAAATAAAAAGCTTTTTCTCTAACAAGGACTGCAGAGGTCAGGCACCTATCTGATCTCTGTGTTGGCTTCATCCTGATGGCTGTTAACAGGGATGCTCTCAAAAACTTTCCCTCCCACCTTATTGGCCAGAAACATTCCATGCTGTTACATGTCCACAGCCAATCCAATCACTGACAAGGGGGATATAACCACCATGATTGGCTTGGTTTGTGCCATTCAAGACCACCCACTAGGGCTGGGCTGGGCTATTCTCCCCTAAAACTCATGGTCTCTTGGAAAAGTGTTGGAGAGAGAAAGTGCTCTATCAGAAAAGAATTAGGAAGATGGAGGGGAAGGATGTGTATACAACAAACAGTTGAATATTAAAACAAAATAACTTCAGTGGTGTTGAATGTTTGTACTTCCTTTATGATTTATTCTTTACCATTAGATAGATTTTTTTAACAAGAGCATTCGGCTTTTCTGTTTGTACCTCGAATGATGGCTGAGCTTGTGTTTGTGCTAGGAACCAACCTCACCTTAAATACTGCAGAATCTTGGCTTTGGTGGATTTAACGCTTATGGTTTCAACTATTTGTGACAGACTGCAAAATCCTGTAACATAATCATTTGTGATTTTTCTGAAGTACAAAATCAAATTCCACGCCTGACTGGTCTACAATTCAGGACATAGTCACTTAGGTTGTAAATGGGCCTCCTCATTTATTTAATAGCCACATATAAAAATATATTTGAATAGTTTGTATTTATCATTATGTAGGCATTTTAAGAAGGGACTTACTT